AGGACCACAAGATTCAAAAGTCTTCTTTATTTACTTAAACTCCGTGCCAAGTCAAATCAGGTCATTCTTTGTGAAACGGAGGGAGTATTATTTATAATCTACTTTGTTAATATATTTTTAGTTAGTTTATAGTTTTCAATGTTTATATATTTTATTTCAAATTTGGGCTTGTAAAATTTGTAAATATTTTATTTTGTATTTTGATCCGAAGTTACACTTATATTGTTATAATTTTTCAAATTCAAAGTTAACAATTTACTTTGTAAATATTTTGTTTTGTATTCAGTTTGCATGTAGCCTTTAATCTTATTAATTTAACATAATGAGCGTTGATTTTTCAAAAAAAAAAATTGTACTCATGTGAATTTTACCGTATTTTCGAAAAAATTTATTCATTTAACATTTTTTAAGTTTAGCTTATCACACATGTAAGTGAAAATATATTTGATCTCTTATTCAAACACTGTATAGTAGTAAAAAACCGAAAAAAACCAAAAAAACCAAAAAAATCGATCAAAGTTGAAATCAAAAAAATCAACTTTATGTGATTTGATTTGATTTGATTTTTAAATTTAATAAACCAACATAATTGATTTAGATTTTTTTTAATGAAAAATCAAATTAAACCGACCTATGTACACCCCTAGCCGCAACAACATAGAATAGTCATCACAAGCCATCTCAATACATCACAACATTGATATCAAAGGAGAAACATAGTAATACAGTCAAAGAAAAGGATCTTACTCAGTGCTATAAATGAAGTACTCCGAAAATTATAAGTCTTGAACAGTGGTATCAATTCCTCAGGAATTCAACCTGTTGAGATGAATAATTGGAGGAAGTAAATCAAATATAAACTGATGTACTATAAGATGAAGGGCAATATTGCACAAATGATGAACGAATTCACTTTTACCTGTAGATCCAGTTAACCGTTGCAGCTTCCAAGTTGAAGAAGTCTTCACTGGTGTTGAATCATGAAGTCTGTGAGATCTGTGGACCTCCAAATAATTGCAACCCACACCTGCAAGATCTGTGAGGTTTTCCGGTGACTGATGGAAGCCATGGAAGAAGAACGAGTACTAAGTGGATGCACTTTCCCAATGTCTCTTTGTCTTCTTGTTTTTTATTTTTTTCATTTTTTAATTTCTAGTGTCCTTTACTTTTTCTTTTTCTTTTTCTTTTTGGATTGGGCTTTGAGCCACCTCTTTTCTCCATTTTAATAAAAACGTCCCTGGGATCTAACTTTTAATTCTAAAAAAAAAAAAAAAAAGTGAAGAGAATCTGCTTTAATTTTGTGTTTAATTAATGGAACATAATCGTAATGGAATAAATTTTTGCAAAAGCCTAGAAATAAAGGGTTACTTTTCAATTTTCATGCAGGCATATGTTAAGGACAAATTAAACACTAAAACCCAATAATTAATTAGGGAATTACTTGTCATATATACTTTAATATTTTATCTTTGTGTTTTCTGCATTTATGATATTATATGACTTTTGAATGATTTAAATGTTTAATTATTATCGTTGGTACGTAGTGAAATCTGATTATAACTAAAATTGATTTGCCTACCGACTAAGTGTTGATGTTATGGTGCCTTTGATAAATTAGATCGTGACATCTTATAATTAAGCTTTAGTGACTAATATTAATTAACTTTTCTGCTTTTGGCAAAGTGAAGGGAATCTGCTTTAGTTTGTGTTTAATTAATGGAACATAATCGAAATAATATGATTTTCTACCAAAGCCAAAAAGTTTAAGGGCGACTTTCTATGCAGGCACAAATTATCTTAGTTAATTTTAAACGATTTAATAACACATTATTATGAGTTAGTGAATGATATTTTTAGCTTTGATCATGATTTTTTCAGATACCTTCTATATATTCTAGATTGTTAATTATTGTGATTGATTACGTTTTATATAGCTTTTACATATGTAATTTTTTTTTTCAAAATTCAATGTCCAAATTCACATATATATATTGAATATTTGAACATTATATTTCGAATCAAGCCAAACAAATTGAATCAGAGTGAGTATTTGAATGACCTAATACTTTCAACAATATTTTACCATTCGGATGTATATAAGATAATACATCCAACTGTTGTTTTTCTTTTTATTACTGCTTTGATTTGCTTTATTTGAGTCGAGAGTCTTTTCAAAACAGTCCTTCTATCTTCATGAAGTAGATGTAAAATATGTGTACACACTATTTTCTTCAGACCCTCCCTTGGTGGGAGATGTATATATATAAGACATCATTTCTTCACCCCCAAGTTGACCTTTTTCAATTTCTAAGCTAGCAATAATCATACACCTTATAACTCAATGACCAAAGTTTCATCATTTTTCTCTAATGTGTTTATGTTTGTTGGTGGAACATTAGTTATAGTCTTAGCTTTGTGGTCTTTCATGAGCCCTAAGTATCCGAGTTTTTCTACCATTAATTTGGACTTCAATTTAGATCAAGAAGGATCAACAAATTTCTATGATGAACCAAATTTGAGCTACACTATAGAGAAGCCAATACAAAATTGGAACGACAAACGAAGACAATGGTTCAATCTTCATCCTTCATTTAAGCTTGAAGGCGAAAAAGAGCGCATTTTAATTGTTTCGGGTTCGCAATCCACTCCTTGTAAAAACCCCGTTGGTGATCATTTGTTGCTAAGGTTCTTCAAGAACAAGGTACATATATATATATATATATATACTCATGTTAAGATGATTAAATTTTATTCACGCATTCTATTTATTTTAGTTCAATAGCTGATAGTGATTGTTTGGTTCACAAACTAAATTATCTCAAGGTTATAATTTTAAGAGTAATTTATCCTAACAAGGTTGATGGATAAGATGGAGATGGAAGTGCAAGAGGGAGGGGGGAAGGGGGTTGAATTGAATTCTTTTTGTATTTTCTCTTTATGGAAATTGTGAGTAAGTCAATTGTTTAGCTAATGTAAGAACAATTAGATATAACTTACATAAATCAGTGTTAAGATCTTATTACATTATTTTCCTACTCTTTTTCAAATTACAAAAATTCTTTAAAAATTTATGGATTTCAAATACATCACTAGACTTCCAGATACATCACTGGACATCCGGATACATAGGTGAGGGATGTATCAGAGAGTGGATAGGACATTCGGATACATCATTGGACTTCCGGATACATCAGCAGACCAGACATCCAGATACATAGGTGAGGGATGTATCAGAGAGGGGAGGGATGTATCTAAGAGGGGGATTGTGATGTATCAACAAGAGGAGAGTAATGTATTTGAGAGGAAATTTTTGAATTTTTTTTAAATAATAGAAAATTTTAAAGATTATGATAAAATTAGATGTGTATTTAAGAAATTTTTCTAATAATTTTAGTTTAGTCCCTTTAAGGAGTTTGAAAAGGTTTAGACAATGGCATGTATATTTTCTTAGACCTTTGATGACTTCTTTTATATGGTTTTTTTAAAATTGTTAAAATTTGTGACAGGTAGATTATAGTAGAATACATGGATATGATATATTCTACAATGATGTATTATTGGAACCAAAAATGTTCTTCTTTTGGGCAAAATTGCCAGCTGTTAGAGCAGCAATGGTAGCTCATCCAGAAGCAGAATGGATTTGGTGGGTGGACTCTGATGCTGCCTTTACTGACATGGACTTCAAGTTACCTTTGAAGAAATACAAAAACCATAACTTTGTGGTTTATGGTTGGCCAAAGTTAATCTATGAGAACAAAAGTTGGACAGGTATTTTCTCCGTTTCATTTTACTTGGTCTTTATATAAAAAATAAAACATTTTTTACTTATCAATTTTAGCAAATTAAGAGAATTTTTTTTCATACTCTTGTAAGAATCGTTTAGGGCGTATTTAACTTAGTGATGAAGCTAGAAATTTTACTAAGTGGATTCGATATATAAAAAGTAAGCTCACGAAGAGGTCAAAGGAGCTCAAAATCTACTATATATACATAAAAAAATATTTTACTCATGTTTATACGGTATAATTTTCCACCGAAGGTCGTTCGGATGAACCCATTCGACTCTTGCTAGCTTAGCCCTTGGGTGTATTAGTAATTCTAACATTAATAATGTTGATATTGGTTATGTTGAGATTATTTAAATTTGACTAATACTACTACTCTATGTACGTAGTTATTTAATATTAAGAGTAGTATGATTACGGATAGTAAGAGGGAAAAAAACTCTCTTAATTTATTAAAATTGATAAGTAAAATGAATATCTATTTTTATATAAGAGTCATGTAAAATGGAACGAATAGAATAAATTGAAATGAAAGAAGTACTTCATCTTTCTCAATTTATACGACTTGCTTTTCTTTTTAGTCAACCTAAAAAAGAATTAAATATTTTATAATATTTAAGAACAAATTAACTTTAATATATCTATTTTATCCTTAATAAAATAATTTATAGTCATACTAATCAAACATAAATTTTAAAAGTATTATTTTTTTCGTAACTTCTATATCAAATCAAACTATATCACATAAATTACGACTAATTGATTGTGCTACTTTTATGGACAGGTATCAATGCTGGAGTTTTCTTGATTAGAAATTGTCAATGGTCAATGGACTTAATAGAAGCTTGGGCAAAAATGGGACCACAATCACCAGAGTACAATAAATGGGGTGAAATCTTAAGAACAACATTCAAGGACAAAAAATTTCCACAATCAGATGACCAATCAGGTCTATCATATTTACTATTAAAAGAAAAAGACAAATGGGGTGAAAAAATATACATAGAAAGTGAATATTATTTCCAAGGTTATTGGGTGGATATTATAGAAACACTTGATAATATTACAAACAAATACTTTGAAATAGAGAAAAAAATACCTATTTTAAGGAGGAGACATGCTGAGAAGGTAGTAAGTGAGATTAAGGTTTGGGAAGAGTACTTAATTAAGGATAATTATTCAATTAGGAGACCATTTGTTACACACTTTACTGGTTGTGAACCTTGTAGTGGGGATTATAATCCAATATATTCTTGGGAAACTTGTTATGATGCAATGCAAAAGGCATTAAATTTTGCAGATAATCAAGTGTTGAGGAAGTATGGTTTTCTTCATAACAATTTACTTGATTCTTCCACTGTTTTTCCTTTGCCTTTTGACTTTCCATCCAACATTTGAATTATGGCTAGTTTGAAGTGGGATGGGGTGTGTGTGTGTGGGG